GGCGCGGGGGCGGGGCCGGAGGCGGGGCCGGAGCGTGGGGGGGGGCAGGTCTGCAGTGCCTCTTCCCCGGGTACCCGGAGCAGTCGCCGCCGCCGCTCAGCCCCGCGGCCGGACCCCCACCCTCACCTGGGACTCCCTTACCCGGGGTACCCAGCCAGGTGAGACCCCCCCTCTTTCAGACTCTCACCTTCACCCCGCCCTGGCCAGAGCATCCTTGCCTTGCAGCCATTTTATTCTCCGATGCTTTGCTTACGGGGAGGGCGGCCGTCCCTGCTGGGGGGGGGGTGTTTTATTGGGGGGTAGAGAAGGGTATTTGTCTCTTTCGTTGTGCGGCTCAGGACATGCGTGCATATGCGTGTACATATACATACGTATGTACATAGCCATGTCTGTCCGTACCTCTGGCTATACACATATGTATGTTTGTGTGCAGGGAGAGGGAGGGGTGTTTTTTTCCCTCCACCTTAGCCAAGTCTCCAGTACCATCCGGAGATTAACCCGAGGAGGGGTTGTTGGGTAGATGAGGGTCCCCCAAACTCTGATCGCTTCCTCACCTTGACGTCTCCCCGCCCCCCCCCCATGAATGATAAATGACCTTGGCTGGGCCCAGAGAATGGATGCTGTCTCAGCCTGCGCCCCTAGACTTGGGTGGGGGCAGTGGAAGAAGGGCAGGTGCAGGGGGAGGTGGGGGGGGAACCAAGAATGGAAGCACTGGGGAGGAGGAGATGGTAATCGACCCGGTACTGGGACGAGGAGGGCCGGGGCTGTGGGCAATTATTCCGGGAGAGGGGCGGCACGAGTCATGGTGGGCTCGTGTCCAGCGGCAGTACCGGGGGTGCGGGGCGCCCCCAAACCCTTCAGTCCATGCTAGGGGCTCGTCCCTGGTGCCAGAGCTGAGGTGAATGGGGGAGGGTGGTCGCCGCAGTTGCCGGTAGGGGCGGTCTCGAAGCTGGTGCGTGTGGAGGTTTCTCCGCGTCCCTGCCTCTCCGCCTATCCGTGTGCTTTCCTCCGTTTGCATTTTCAGCTGACACCTTCAGCCCATGTCCCCCTCCCCCAGTGTGGATGCTCTCATCTCCTTAACCCAGGGGTGGGTTATGAGGGGAGGTTCAAGCCTTGGGCCTGGGGTGGGGGTGGGGTCGAGGCTCAGTCCTCTAGCTGTAATGGGGAGGGGCGCTTTGGCATCCCCCCCCTTCTTCCTTTCTCCCTTCCTCTTTCTTTCTCCTCTCTTTTCTTCTTCTCCTTCCTCCCTCACCTCCGCTTCCGCAGACGTTTTAATAAGTGCTTGCTTCTTAATGGCCTTGTTACCTGGTCTGGGGTGGGCTGAACATTTAAGTGCCCCCCCCAAGTAAGAGGCTTTGGTGGAGGTCTGGATCCCTTTCTGATCTAAGGTCGAGCAAGTTGTTCTGAAAGGGAAGCATCTGCTCAGGAGAACCCCCCCCCTTTCCACCCTCTGCAGAAAATCTGGGCATATTTTTTATCTGGGCATATTTTTTTCGGTCAGGTGAAGCTAGCCCATCTTAAAGGACCTTGGAAGCCCGGATCTTGCCTCCTTTAACCTCTACCTATCCAAATGTCTCTCTTTTACAGGCTTAGCCATTCTGTGCTGCTTTGGGGGCTAAAAATAGCACCACTTCCTCACCAGCTCTAAGAATTTGTCTTCTTTCTCTCCCCCATGGGCTTGTTGGCCCTGGGGGAGCTGGCTGTTGAGCTACTGCTGTGGCTCTGAGAACATTCTCTATCCCTCCTGTACCTCTCAGGGGTAAACGGTTGTCATCAAACATTGGGTATGGCTCCTGGTGGGTCCATCTGCTTCTTTCAGGGTTTGGGGGCAGCTCCTGCTTTGGAAAGAATGGAAAAGAATGCAGATTGCCTTGCACTGAGGGAATCCCATAGTTCCCTCTTAATCATGGAGGATAGAGGATGATTGGGCCCTGAATTCCAAAGCAAAGAAGGTGATGTAGGGGTCACTGCTTCTGGTCACTGTGGTCCACTGCTCACATCTGTCCTGAGGGGGTAAGGCTGTGCTTGGCAGTGCTTCCCTCTGAATCACACAGCATTACTTACCCTCTTCTACCAGGGCTAGTCTGTGTGTGTGTGTGTGTGTGTGTGTGTGTGTGTGTGTGTGTCACATTTAATGAAGGCTCTGGATGGGTTGGAGCAGCAGGATATTTTTAGGGATATATCTCTGATCTGAAGCTAGACTTGTATCCTCTCTGTCCTGAGAAGTAAGGAGGTTATCTTGTGCTTCCTTTTGGAGGATATCTTTTGGGTGGGGATACTCAAGGACCCCTTTATTCTTCGCTAGCCGCCTACGCAATGCGGTATTTGCGGACTCCTTTTCCCTTGACGCCTGGAGAAGCAGAAAGGATTAAAGGGGATTAGAAAGGAGGCCTTGGAGGAAGGAGGTGCAGCCATAGACCTTAGATCTTCACATTAGAAACTGTATGCTCCATCAGTCATTCTTTACCCTCACCAGGGAAAGGGGGCACACATACAACATTATGAAGGAAGGCAGCCATCAGTCATCACCTTAGCTTTTGTTTTGTTTTTTTGTGCTAGTCCTTGGGCTTGAACTTAGGGCCTGGGCATTGTCCCTGAGCTTCTTTTGGCTAGTGCTGTACTACTTGAGCCAAAGCTCTACTTTTGGCTTTTTTTTGGTAGTTCATTGGAGAAAAGAGTCTCACAGACTTTCCTGCCCTGGCTGGGCTTCAAACCATGATCCTCAGATCTCAGCCTCCTGAGTAGCTGGGATTACAGGCATGAGCCACCAGTCTCCAGCTATTACTTTAACTTTTGATCTTCTCACTTGTCCATTCTATTCAGGTACCAAGTCTCCCTTTTTTGGGGGTCTTTCCTTGTTGGTCTGGAGGGAGATAATGTGGGCCCACATTATCTGTTGGAATTAGCTTCAACACAATGGGCTTTTGGATGGATTTTGGGCAGCAACATCTAAATATGACCTTCCCGGACTCTTGCTGCTTTCCTTACACCTTCATGGGAAGGAAGGAAACTAATATTTACAGAATATTTACTGTGAAATCAGATTTTCACACTCTGAGAAACAGAGTTCCCCCCTCCCCAATTAATTATCTTCAAACTAAATAAATGCAAGAAACTGGGAAGCTCAGCATGACTAGAAGTAGAATTTGGACTTCAACTTAGGTCCTCTATCAGTCATATGTTTTGCCTTAACTGCATTCTCCTTGATAGTGACCCTTTTGCCACTCATCCTAAAGAACCTCAGGGATGGCTTTTCTTTGAGAACCTGTGAAGCGTTTAGGGCATCTCATTGCATTACTGTCATTACAGTAGTAAGAGATACTATTTATCACTTTTTTTGGTTCCAGGTACTGTGGTAAGGAACATATATATGCATTAGCTAATTTAATCTTTACCTTTCCGTTGTTATTTATTTATTTTTACATTTATGTGCTGTACTAGGGCTTGAACTCAGGGCATCACATTCTCACTTAGTTTTTTCACTTAAGGCTGGCACTCTACCACTTAAGCCATACCTCTATTTCCTACTTTTCCAGTTTGGGATACGATTTGACTATTCAGGTACACTCCTGTGTTCACTGAACTAGGAAGTGTCAAAACAGGAAATCAAACTCAAGTCTATCTGATTCTAGAAGCTAAGCTTTTACACACTAGGCTTAAGTAGGTTGGGAGAAAAATCTTCCTTTGGAGGTTGTAACCCTAGAACCCGAAGGAAGGACTGTGGAAGGTCTATCTTCAGATTGGGGGAGGAGGTTGTCTTCCTGCTACACATTTTCCTCCAACCTTTGCCCTCAAAAGAACCCCAGACCAGAGTAGACTAGGGGATTCTTATTTCTCATATTTCCTTTTTTTTTTTTTGGTCTTTTTTTTTTTT